AGGCGTGTAACTGTACGAACAGACCATGCATCGCTGAAATGGCTGTTGAGTTTTAAGGATCCAGAGTGGCAGCTTGCCAGATGGTTGGAGATAATTGCAGAATACGACTTACAGATACAACACAGACCCGGCACGAAGCACGGAAATGCTGACGGGTTATCCAGGCGTCCGTGCAAACAATGCGGACGTACAGATCAAGTCGAACCTAGTAGTGAACCGGCCGATACGTTTACCGTACGAGTAACTACACTGGAATCCGAAATTTCTCTCGAGGCGATTAGAGTTAGCTAACTAGAGGACAAGACAATGCAGTGGGTGATAGAAGCTAAGGAATCGGGCGGTAGTAGACCGGCATGGGATGCTGTTGAACCAGAGTGTAGAGCATATTGGGTTCTCTGGGATGCACTCCAGGTACGCCAAGAAGTCCTACACCGAAAGTGGGAGTCACATGACCGACGGGATATAACTTGGAAGCTAGTACCGAGCCCCCTCCGACAAAAGGTAGTGAACGAGGTGCACGGGGGAAAAACGAGTGGACACCTGGGCGTATATAAATCCCTTGGAAAGCTTAAGCAACGGTATTACTGGCCCCGTATGGATCATGGATTCGATGCTGTAAGATATGTGCTCGGCGGAAGGCACCACCGAAAAAGAGGAGAGCCCCCTTACAAAAATGGCCAATTTCCAAGCCCCTCGAACGTGTCGCCATGGACATCCTTGGACCATTTCCGGAATCCTACCACGGTAACAAGTACGTCCTGGTAGTCGGCGAATACTTAACTAAATGGATGGAGGCATATGCAATACCGGACCAGACTGGTGAAACAATCGCAAGGAAATTTGTGGATGAGTTCGTGCTCAGATTTGGCATTCCCCAACAACTCCATACAGACCAGGGGCGCAATTTCGAATCCCGTATACTGGCAGAGATATGCAGGCTTCTCGGGATTCTCAAAACCCGAACTACAACCTATACCCCGAAGAGTGACGGGATGGTAGAGCGATTTAATCGCACACTAGTCAACATACTCGCTGTTTCTCTTGAACCGGTGAAAGCTCAGAGGGACTGGGATGATTGGTTGCCGTATGCCACGTTTGCATATCAGGCAACCCCTCTTGAATCTACGGGTGAAACTCCCAACATGTTGATTTTTGGCCGAGAGACACGGATTCCTGTGGATTTGCAGTTTGAAACGGTACTACCAGAAAACCCTGAACAGAACCAAGCCCAAGAGGTACGAGATAAGATTCAGTGGACTATTCAGTACCAAGGAAGGGAGGAGACGTCATGAGGAGAGGAATCACCGAGATTTGGAGAAACGGACACAGTACAGCCATGCGTGATAGCACCTGCCAAGGAGGCAGTAGAACCCCCAGGGGAAGAGTTAGACCTGGGTCTTTCACCGGAAGCTCTTGATCTGCTGGAGGAGGAGACCCGAGACACGCTGATGCCTAAAATCAGGCGAGTGTCAGGAGGAAAACCACCTCTCCTGAGCTCACCGGACAGGAACCAGGCCAGGACAAATCGACGGAAAAGGAAAGATAACCCTCTGGCGCCAGTGTCTATGGAAGCCTTGCTGGGAGACCGTGTTAGCGAGTAGTGGAAACATGGGAGAGCTCGCACTACCGTTTGGGAGATGATGAGCATGGCGTCTATCGAGTGGACAAGGTCAAGCGGGAGTACATCCTCAGGAAGATCTAATCTAATCCCCTGGGCTCTTAAGACCCCAGGTGGAAGTTACCCAGAGGCATACTAGACCCTCTGAGGATAGGCTTAGTTTAAAGTTAAAAAGTTATAGTTAAATTTTATAGTTGAAGTTATTGTTGTTTCCAATTTTGTATTTCTGTATTTATGCATGGGTCCAGGGGACGAACCCATCTGGGAGGGGGGGCTATGTAACAAAATTGGTCCCCTTCCATCATAGTGGAAGGATCCTTGGGGACGCGCGCGTGGCTGCCCCTATAAATGCAGGTGCAGCGGCGCACGGCGTCAGTTCGGCCACGCAGTGCACCAGTGCGGTAGTACCCGAGTAGCCGCTGTACCCTGTTATTATACACGTGGTGTTCCACTTTGTCATTGGATTAAATAAAGTAGCCAACTATACCGGCTAACCGGACCTATATACATTGCTTCTAGTCATTTATTTCCTGCTCTCCTGTGTATATACTGCCGTGGTGAGTATATTGCGTGAGAGTTTGTGATGGTGTTTGTGTGAGAGCAAGTGTAGAACCAGTCAGTGGAGTACATCTACTGCCGAACCCGGGCTATCCTGACAGAAATCCGTTACGATCCCGTTACAATATTTTTAATTTCTGTTATATTACTAGTGTTTCGCAGAGTGCGAAATTTGATTTAGCATCTGGCGCCCCCAGTGTTTCTATAGGGGCTTCCATAGCCGTAGTAGTGAATTTACCGAGTCAACTTAATGTTGAATTGAGATTTCGTTTATAATGATATAAGTTAAGAGGTGCTAGACGTGAGTAATTAATTAACACATAGTAGATTCATAGATAGAACGTTACAGATGCTTTCCCGTTATTCATGTTAATACCCTGTTGTAAAAGGTGAGCTAGCGTAGGTTTATTGCCGCGCTAGTTTCAGCCTACGGGATTAGTCTAGGGCTAATTATCTTTTGGCCGGAGTTAATTGTTATCACGTGTGTAGATGGTGATGTAGGCCTAAATACTAGCTCATGTTAACGATTTAAGTTTCCAGCTCACATATGTGATTGATGGCTTTTCTAGTGACACCTTATGTGGTACCGGTTAAACAGATAATAACTATAGAAGAGTTAATTGTCATTTATTGATTTTGTTATGCTATAGTAAAATACATTGATTGAGATCACGAGAGTATACCATGTAGCTGGAGTTAGAGGACGCCACCAACGTCGGTGTTTAGTGTCTTGAATATGCATGTTTAGCTTATTTTTTTGCATTTCTTTGAATGTTTTGTTTATTACAGGTTTTCGAACCTGACTGCTGGTGCTTGTTTGAAATAAAGCAAACCGATTAATTTATGCTGACTCCTGTCATTCATTATTCAAACGAAACATTCGAAAACGTCAGCTCAACCAGCTGAAGAGAGTAACAACCTAAACCTAGAGATAAAACATACCATGGAGGATGCAAAGAGAGCACGGAGAGCATGCAAGAGAAACTTTGTGAGTCAGGCTGACTCATTAAGATTGGCATTGGCACAAAAAATGTCTACTAGCTATATTGAGGAAGTAGATGCAGAGTTTAAGGAGTGCTGACGTAACCTTCGTACAGCTCACGATACAGTGATTAACAAAGTAGAGAAAGAAGAGGATGAGGATCAGGAAGATAAATGGTTAGATGAGTTTAGAGACATGTATAAGGAGATGCGAAGGATATTTCATGAGGTGGGAACCAAAGAGTCTAAAGCCTGGTTTCCTGTCGACGTAAGAAGGCAGATTTACTTACGACGTTGTATCGTAACAAAATGCGATTTGTCAGAAAATCGATTGCGACTGATGAGTTGTGAAATCGACGTAACGCAAGGTTAAATCGTAGCAAAACAGTGTTGTACAGGAAACCGTCGTATTGAATTTTCATGCGATACGTCGATTTTCCACGATTTAACAGGAAACCGCGATTCAGTGACGCTTGCGTTGCCTTGTCTTACGTCTCTTACGAAAGTTGACTCCAAGTCGACTTTCGTAAGATAAGAAGCAGTCAATCAGATACGGGAATTATGACGTAGCCTTTATGACGTACCATGTTTTGATGTGGCTGAAACTGGTCAGATTGTTCTACAGTAGAAAAACATGAAAATTCAGCGGTTCTTGCTTCGTTGAGTAGTCTACCAACACTCCACACATTGTATACCACGCAGTAGCCTATACAATTTTGTTATTATTATTATTATTATAATTATTTATTATTATTAACCACCACTATTAACGAATACCGGCCTCTTTCCAAGTCTATTTTGGTTGAGAACAATGAACAAACATGCCTAGTATCAACAAGAAGCTCCTTGCAAAGAAGTTACTTTGCTTTAGAATTTTACAGAGAAGAAGAAAGAGAAGAGAAGAATGTACAAAGACGTGGGCAAGAACTCATAAGTTCAGGACGAGAAAAGTTCTGATGGAAAGAGTGAGCCACGGCCAATACCACACTCTGTTCAAGACCCTGATGAATCAGGACAGAGAATGTTTTTCTGCATGACCATGGGTTCGGTCTCCTAGAGGGCCCGCCGTAGGTTGGCCCAAGGCTCTAGCTAGGTCTAGGCTACCTATAATATTGGCCTAGGCTGTATACATCCCAAGGGCCTAGGTAGGCCTACTTGTTTGGATTGGAGGGAGCAGGGTCTAGGCCTAATGTTATTTTAAGGAGTCAAATTATGTTATGTTATTATTAATTATATTGTGTGACTATCAACTATAATAAATAGGCCTAGGCTAGGCTATATACCTAGTAGGGCATTATAATATAGAATCAACTTTTTATTTCACACTCCCCGCGATTGCTTTTCTTGGGGCCCTGAGAGCCGAGGAGTTAAATCACTGCTCATACAGTACATGTACATTGCTTTTTCATGTGCATCCATTCATCTAGGGACCGGCCAAGTTGACAAAATTTCATTAAAAAACAAATTGCTCTGTGTACCAATTGATTTTATCTACCCAATTTACTGCTATATTATTAATATCAGTATGTTTAGGTATGCGAAATGTGGGTGGGGTGTAAAACACAGCATTTACTTATGCCATCTATATGGTATGTTTTTGGTTACGAATCTTTGCATTATATTCTTTTAGGCATAGATTAAGTTAAGGCCACTCTTGTGAGGGCAGCAGTGTGGAACTCCCTTTAGACATTCCTTCCCTCCGTTAGTCTTAGGAGTTACTAATTAGGAATATATTATCTACCTTGGGCAAGTAAAGGTACTCCTGAAGCCTCCCCCACCATTGATAGTTATTATTTTTTTTGTAGTTAAGGTTACAAAACTGTTAACATTCTCTCGACTTCTGTTTTGCACAATGGGGATCTTTGATGGATACTGGCGCATTATAAATGTTATTATTATTATTATTATTATTATTATTATTATTATTATTATTATTATTATTATTATTATTATTATTATTATTATTATTATTATTCTGCCAGTTATGTTCCCACCTCTTCTTAAGCTTGACACCATTCTTTCAGATAGTCATTATTGTTATTGTCCAATATGAATGCTATCTGGAAAACTTGCAAATAGTAATTTCATATTTAGTCCAGACTAACCGTACCATTGTTTCTATCCATGTGTCTGTGCATAATGGGCCAGTAGAAATTCATATTCATCATCATCATCATCATCATCACCACCATCATCATCAATACCTATACCCTATCATCATTTTATTCTATTTAAAAACCAGTAGCAATATAATGATTAATTTAGCTACAATCAATCATACCGTCATGTCATACCACCATGTAAACCATGTAAAAATTTATTGCTACCAATATTTGCTATCAAAATTTCCATTAAATATTTAATTTTGCTTTTCTTAGTAAACAAAATACATGAAAATCAGTCGGCGAAAATTGGTAGCAGGGTAATTTTTTTCTGTGGTTTCATAAGAAAATAACGATGAAGTAAATTTATTAGTGAACAAGTAATACAATTTAATACTACAGTCAGACATCTAAACACAAAAATACCATTATATTTGAAGACAAAAAAGAAATAAGTTTTGGGAGTGAAGAGATATGATTTGATGGTTTATTTTTTCTTATGATAGTTGTTAAACAGCATAAGGATGTTCAATTCCATTTCTCCCCTGTCGTCTTCGCTGATCTTTCTCATTTTTGCTGCCACTATTTTCCCAAAATTGTCGGCTTCATCTTCATTTCCAGTTCCTTTCATTATTTCTAACAACTTCTTGTCGACATCGCTCATCTCCTGTCAAATTAATCATTTTCCAACAATTAAAAATGTCATTGAGATACAATTTAGAATCCGCTAATGTAAAAGGAATTGATCAGAAACATTTGAATCAAAACTTTAATACTTAAAATGTAGTTTGTAGAATAATTCAGTATTGTAGGTAGAAGCTTTGGGTTTTCTAATTTACAAACTACATTAATCTAATGGCCTTTTGTAAAATCTTTGTTATTAAGGGAAGATGTTAAAATTCTCGGAACAGGCTGCTGCTTCTTAATATTGTATTAATTATTTAATTTTATTTCATCAATCTTTAATGAGGGTGGTCCATCTAGCCATAGTTGATCATTAGGGACCCTCTTTATATAATTTCCTGAACCGACCTGTCACACACTAAAATTTGAAAAATACAATTATCAACATTATTGCAAATTTACAAACAGTAGGCCTTTTCTTTTTTGGTAACTCTCTATCTCCTCTGAAAGTGCACATAAAAAATATTGATTTTTTTTATAGAAAACTTTCTCCATTTTTTAGGGGAAGTTGACTAAAGTACTGTACCTGGACATAAAAAATGCCTATTATATCCCAAGTTCTATTACAATTGGTCATCAAAATCTTTTAATTTAAATATTGCATGTTACTTTGAATCAAGGTACTGTTTCTACACTTGTGTAAAAATGTTGACAGTTGTTTAACAACCCATATTACATTTGTGGATTCCAGCTACAGTATTATCAAATCAAGCGATTGACTATTATACTGATACTTACATTGCTCGGTCCAGTCTTTTCAGTTGGCTTGGATTTATTGGCCCATGCCTTTTTAACAGCCTCTGAAAAATGTATAAACAGTAATAACAACGTATGTTACATGGGTAAAATAACATGTAGTTTTTATGTGGGTGGGGTGTGTAAATATGTTTGTTTTAAACTGAGATGATGTAATTATGCTTGTATTCTATTGGACAAGGGTGATTTGTACAAGTTATTAGCATGAAGCAATCATACACAGATTTCTTACTGTTTGGTTTGTCAACACTTCTCTTCTTCATCGATCCTCTTTGGGCTTCATTCTTGCCAGTTTTTGACTCTTGACTCTTGTCTTCTACTACCTGAATTGATCCAGGTTCCTCCTCTTCAACTTCATCGTGTTGATCTCAAGTCCCTCAACAATTTTGCCTTCTTCTCCATCTTTCATGTTTACTTCAACTTCTACGTTGCGTTCGTCAATTTCATAACTGCTATTTTCAATATCATCATCTACATCGTCGCTGATGTTATCTGTATTGAGAACAAATTTAAAACAAGTACCGTACTTATGTTGAATTTTATGTTGCAATTACCCCAATAATGATTTTGTATACTAGGAATGATCACACCAAAATAAAATCCATTCATATTTAAAAAAAAATTCTACAGCATACTAAAATTTAATTAAAATATGAATAGCTAAATATCTTTTGAATTATGCTCAAATTTTAACTATACCCAAGTATACATAGGGGCAGAAATACAGCATTAACTCACTTGTGACCCCCACAAGTCAGTCTGTTTGGTTTATAATAAGGATACCATCTTTAAAAATATATATATATATATAATGAGCATTTAAAGTAGTTACCTTTGTCCTCTGGTGGTGTGACATCCCACAAAGAATCATCTATCTCTTCTGAAAAAAAAATTAATTGTTATTGGTCAGTTATTTATCTTTGTGTTTTATATATTTATTTAAAGATACCTGAGAATGAGTCCTGAGAGGTTCAAGCAACTTTCAGCTATGGTAGAGCCTCATCTAAAACCGAGAGAAAACAGAGGGCGAATACATGTGTCACCAGATGAAAGGGTTGTAGTGACACTGTGCTACCTCGCAACTGGAGATAGCATGGCGACTTGGTCGTTTAACGGTCTCAAACATCATCAAGGAGGTGTGTGATGCCATTTGGGCAGCATTGAACTCTACGTACCTTAGAATGCCCTCAAGTGAGAGGGATTGGCTCGAGATTGCCAAATAGTTTGAGGACGAGTGGAATGTACCTCATGCTGTCGGTGCTGTTGATGGGAAGCACATTGCCATTGAGTGCCCCAAATTTGGGGGCTCAACGTACTATAACTATAAAGGATTTCACAGTACTGTATTGATGGGTATTTGCGATGCGAAATACTCATTCACGTGGGTGAGTATTGGCTCATATGGCAGGGATAACGATGCTGCCATCTTTGGTCAGTCATTCTTTTTCAACAAGGCTGAATTGGGGACGTTAATGATGCCACTGCCATCAGCTGTTGGGGGTTATAACCTGCCATACACTCTTCTTGGCGATGATATCTTTCCCCTGAAGACATGGCTTTTGAAGCCATTTGGCAGAAAACGACTAACTGAAGCAGAGGAGGTGGCCAACTACCGAATTTCAAGGGGTCGACGCACCATTGAAAATACCTTTGGTATTATGTCTGCCAGATGGCGAATTTTCAGACGACCAATAAGAGCCAATATAGAGACTGTTGATAAGGTAGTGAAAGCAGTGGTCTGTTTGCATAACTACCTAACGCAAACTGAAAATGCACATTACATTCCAAGTGGCTTTGTCGATAGCGATTGCAATGGTGAATTTAAGGAAGGAGAATGGAGAAACATAGTGAGAGATGACGAAGGAGGAATAAGGGACGCGAGAAGAATAAGCTCCAACTATTACACAGCAAGTGCTAAAGAAACAAGAGAAGCATTTTCAAATTATTTTAACAGTGCAGGAGGTGCATTACCTTGGCAGTGTGATGTTGTGAGAAACTGCGGCCCTCTGGCTACAAGATGAATGCTTTGATGCACATTTTGTAATTGAAATCCTGGGCAACTAATCATCTATTCACAATTGTCAGTTTATATTTAAGGGTGAGAAACAATTAGATTATTAGATGCTATTACTATAGAGAACTGGGACAGTTTCATTAGGCATTTAAAAACTAATAACCCAGCCCATATTCCCTGTGCTGACACTGCAAGTTAAATTGGTTTTTGTTTATTATGTTATTATTTTAAATTGTAATAAATAATTATCCTGGGTTTTCCAAAAAATCAGTTTGCATGTGATTATTTATAGTGCTTTTATAAAAACAGTTTTTAGAATGCAAGTAATTATAAATTTAAATATTATTTGGAAATTTAAGTCAATACAATTTTGGTAGTTTGCTAGTACCCTTCATTTTGTCACACTGGTAATTTTAGTTAATATGATTTTATAATTTACAATATATTTATGTACTGTACCTTCAACTATTGTGGATTTTTATATTAATATTATCAAATTTCTCCTTTCTATGAATAAGGGCACATAGAAAAAAATATTAGATCACTGTTTTCTTTTTGTTTTTTTTTTTTCAAAAAAAGTGTTGACTGGAGTTTTTTTTAATTATTGGAATAATAGAATATAGCTTATTTTAATCCATGACAGAGGGACTTTCATATATTTCATGTAACATAGGCTAGATTGTTTATGTAATGACATTTGCTCTGTTAGTGCATATTATATAAAATGGTTAATCATTTTCACTACCATGTAACAGTACGGTAATTTTTTTGAATACACATTGTAAAGATAACAAAAATTAAAGTACTGTAATCAGTTAGAAATTATGCTTTTGTAAGAGTGATTGAATGGCCATGTGAGATTGCAATGGAATGTTATAACTGTACTCATAATTAACAAAAAAACACAGACTATTCTAATATTAGTTTTCTCATTTTAAGTTGTATTTTTTTATCGTAGAGTAAATTTACCATTTGCTAGCATCAATTCCAGTAGTAGTAGAGTAAATAAAATTTAAAAAAATAAATATGGCAACGTGATTTAAATAGCAAAAAGCATTGATTTTTAAATATAATGGGCAGTATATATAGGCCTATGATCAATATAGCTGTACAGATTACAACAAATTAAAAATCGCTGGAGGAATTAATGTACCTAATTGTGCTCTTCTATTCTTTAGTTTTTGTTTGTAAGTGTTTGAAAAGTTTAAAATAAACAACTGGAAGGAACACCAAACCAAAGAAACCGTGATAATGCGTTGGAAATAATGTTAATATAAAGATTAGAATAATTGGTAAACGAGAAAATAATAATGTACCTTCATCTGCATGAACAACAACATCAAATTGTTGAGTCTCTGACAGCAGTCGCATACACTCTTCACTAGCATCTTCTGTCGCATTTTCTCCAGGACTACAATTTAAAGTTTCTTGTGTTTTGCGATGGTTTATGTGAACTACTAGCCACCTCATATGTTCCCATTCAGGGCCTACGGGTAGGGAACACTTTCCCTCGCTTTCTTCAGATGTCTACCACATTACAAAAAAAAATGTATTTATTAATGCACCTTTTAAAAAAGGCACAATCAATGATAGCACATCTCATGAAATGTAGACAACTGCATTGCATACTGTTAATCTACAAACTACACTCACGTGTGGTACAAGATGTCTAAAAGCACAAGTAATTGATTATAGCCAGTATCAGTTAAAAGCAACTTTTACTACGTATATAAATACTATATATTACAATAGAAGTACTTTACCTTGCAAATGCTCTGCGCCTAGCGTTGTATATGCGCTGGCATTCCTCACTGCTAATACCCATCTCTTTAGATATCGCATCCCATGCGTTTTTTTTTCTCTTTTTCCATTTCTGTATGACTCTTTTGTCATACAGGCACTGGTAATTTTGTACCAGCTCCATTAAATTCACTTCTGTTGACGACGGCATCTTTAGAACTTATGATGTCTAAGTTAAGTTTAGGGTGTAGCATTGAACATAATGTTACGTAATCGGTACTATGATTAGAACTCGTCCCCAAGCTTGTATCGACTTCAGGTCTCGATATCATGCTGTTTCTGATATATTATCATCTGTTGAATCTCAGGCGGTCTTTGACTACACCGCAGAAATGTTCGCCGATTCCAAACTCGAGATCCGAATACAATTGTTAGAACTCTTTGCCAAGCCGCCCTTTCCCAATTGTTCATAAACGTTCTTTTGTTGTGAAAAAATATCCCATGCATTCTCGGAATGTTTGCTTATATCAATGCTTTGAATTGAGATAACGAAAAACAAAAGCCCCAACTGACAAACAATAATGGCTAGTGCTGGGACTTTAATTTCAATACTACATTTTTTATATTTATTACTGCGAGTGCCATTACCGACCATTGAGATGATAGGCCTAGGTGCAAGAACAACAATTCACCAAGGGCGAGGCAGGCCTTTTTAAAAATTTTCATGCAAGAACGTACACCATAATTATTGATTGAAATACAATAGTCGAAATTGATATTATTTTGCTTAAGTATTATAAAAACCTTTTTGTGCATTCAATACATATACCAAATTTTTATTCTAATAAAATATACAAAGATACAATTTTAAGAATGAAATACAGAGCATGGTTGACGACAAACTTGTATAACTAATCTTTTAATACAAAGCTAGGCCCAAATGACATCTGAAATCAATAGATGTTTTCGAAAAAACATCTCTCTATTGCTCCGACAACAATTGATCCATGTTTATTTTGGAATTTTATTTCAATATGTGATGATTAAACAAACCTATTGCATAGAATTTACAGATACTGCTTGGATATTTCTTTTTCGTATTGACTAGGCCTACTATAAACAATCTAGCCTCGCTATTTTCGACTACGTCATAGCATGGCTACGTCATAAATCTCGTCGCTGATTGGCTGCTTGTTACGATTTCTGTTTCATAATGCTACGTCTCTTACGAAAGTTGACTTCAAGTCAACTTTCGTAAGAGACATAAGAGACGGCGACGCAAGCATGTTCACTCAAGCATAAGTCATTGAATCGCGGTTTCCTGTCAAATTGTGGAAAATCGACGTATCGTCTGAAAGTTCATTACGTCGGTTTCCTGTCCAACACTGTTCTGCTACGATTTAACCTTACGTTACGTCGATTTCACAACGTAAGAGTCGCAATCGGTTCCCTGTCAAATTGCATTTTGTTACGACAAAACGACGTAGTCGTAAGTAAATCTGTCTTCTTACGTCGACAGGAAACCAGGCTTAAGAGTCGTAAGAATCGTATGAAACGTAAGAAATTCTGACTTTTACGTCGAGAGGAAACCAGGCTTAAGGCGAAAATGGTGACTACAGAACCTCGTATGCAGTTGAAGAAAATGGAGCTCCCTAAATTTAATGGGGATGTAAAGCTGTATTCAAGATTTAAAGAGGACTGTCAAACCAACCAACCAACCAACGACACACAGTGACCAGTTATCATACACATTGCGAAGTTGTTTAGGTAGTGAGCCAATGAAAGTTGTCATGCCGGCGGAGGACAAGATTGAAAAGATGTGGAAGAGGTTAGACGACAGATATGGTAATAGATCAAAGCTGGTGGATGTAGTAGTGGTTGATTTGGTAAAGCATAGAGCGGTAAAGGAGGGTGAAGTTAGAAAGTTGGTGGAATTCATCGATTTTGGAGAAGGAAATGGCCAATTCTCGAGTGATTGGAGAAATAGAGAAGAAATTACCGGACGATGTGTTTAAAAGATGGGTACGACACATACATGATGAGAAAAATAAAATCGGAGAAACTGAGAAGATGTCTGGTTTATTGAGTTTCTTGGAAGAGGAAAGGAATAGTGTAGACTACTCTATAGTGAGTCTGCGTAGCTGCCATATCACAAGCCAGCGTACCAAACCAACTGCATCAGTGCATACGGCTGATGTGCGTGAACCACTACTAGCTAACAGTTCGTGTCTGATCCACGATAGTGCCCAGCACACGACAGAAGACTGCAGAGCATACCTGGCGAAAGCTGTGAGTGACAGAATACCAACTAGTTAAGGAAAAGAGAGCACGTTTCCGATGTTTGAAACCAGGTCATGGTGTATTTAAATCTAAGAAAGGATACTGTGGGAAAGATGGTTGCCAGAGAAAACACCATCCATCTATTCACTTTCAACAGCCCGAGAAGCCAAGGGAGGTGAAACAAAATGGTGTGGTTTTTAAGCCTGGAGGTTGTATGCTGATGGCGATTGCTGTTAAAGCTAGAAATGGGACGAAGATTAACACAATATTTGATAGTGGAGCAACAGCATCAATAATAACACACGAGGCTGCAAGAAGAGTTGGTGCTAAAGGAGATCATGTACAAATAATCTAACCAAGGTGGGCGGACAAGAAATCGTAGTAGAAACAAAGTTGTACGACATACTATTGAAAGACAGAAGTGGAGATACAGTATTGTGAAGGTTAAAGCATATGATATGGAGAGTGTTACGGTCACGAACACAAAAAAACTGGAGCCTTGGCTAATTGCAAATAGAAAACGGTTTATTTCCAATAAACAACTTCACTACACCATGCACCGGTCAACAATACACATAGACCATGCAATTGCCCACCTTCTGATAGCACATGAGCAACAAAACTGCATGTTTCTTGGTTTTTACACTTGGACATCACGTCCATTCTACCTTACACTGTTTCCTCATTTTCATATCACCGTACCAACCACTTCCAACTCACTACTGTTTACATTCATGCTCATTTACATATAGACCTAGCCAGATTTGAGGTAACACTAAGGTATACGAGCTCATGAGGGCGTAACACTCCCCCTCTTCCAAAAAAGTTTGCAATGTAATGAAAACTTTAAACATTAACAAGATAACAACTGACTTTGCCGTAACTAAGAACTGGCTTTGAGTCGCTTAAATGGCAAAGGTTACAAGTAATGGTATTAAATACGCATTTTCTTTTCACACCGTTTCCTGTGTTCAAATCTTTTTACAAGTTTCTAGATAGTGTATCTGCAATCACATTATCAACCCCTTTAATATGTTTTATTTCTAGGTTATACCTTTGGAGAATCAGACTCCACCTAAGCAACCTCTGGTTTTTGTTTTTCATCTTTTGCACAAACACAAGGGGGTTGTGATCAGTAAAATCCTTAATTGGGGTGATCGTTGGGCATAAATATACATCAAACTTTTGTAAGGACATAAGGAGAGCTAATGACTCTTTCTCAATAGTCGAGTAATGGCGTTGTGTCTCTTTAAATTTTCTTTAAAAAATAACAAACAGGGTGATCAACCCCACCTTGTTCCTGCATCAACACAGCCTCAATTCCTATGTCACTTGCATCAACAGCAAGCTTGAAGCGTTTTTCAAAGTTTGGCGCCAACAAAACGGGTGAATTTGTGAGAATTGCTTTAATTTTTTCGAACGATTTCTGGCATTCTAATGACCAGAAAAATTTTGTACCTTTCTTTAACAGGTCAGTCAAAGGATTCCTATAAAAACCAGCCATGCCCAGAAATCTCATAACATCCCTCTTATTCGTTGGTGTCGCCATTCGTACTATCGCTTCAACCTTTGCCTGTGTGGGCTTAACTATTGCTTGGAATATTTCATATCCAAGATAAGTTACGTGTACTTTACAAAAATCACTTTTACTTAGATTTACTGTAATCTGCATGACAGAACATTCATCAAAGAAAGCAGTAATTTTAGCAATATGATCGTTTCAATCACCACTTTTAATAATGATATCATCTATATATACTCAACACCCAGGTATGGACGACACAACCTCATTCATCATCCTTTGGAAGGTCGCTGGGGCATTCTTTAACCCAAAGGGCATCACTTTATAACGGTACAAACCGTCAGGCGTTACAAAAGAACATATATCTTTGGTTATCTCTGACAGGGGAACCTGCCAGTAGCCTTTTAGCAAGTCAAATTTTGTTATGTACTTACCAGAACCAATACGGTCAATACAATCATCGATTCGTGGAATCGGAAAACAATCAGTTTTAGTGACAGATTTCACCTTTCTGAAATCAGTACAAAATCGAAACGTACCATCTGGCTTGGGCACCAACAAACAAGGGGAGCACCAATTACTATTACTATGCTCTATAATGTTATTCTCGAGCATGTAGTCAATCTCCCTTCTCATTTGCTTTAGTTTTAACGGATTTATCCTCTATGGTGGTAGTTTTACGGGGGAATTGCATTTCCCACATCAACATCATGCTTTACACCCCTACATACATTTGTTACATCAGAAAATAAACTATCGAACTCGACAATGTCTTTCAATATCAACTTCATCCATATCCAAATAACCAGTTAGAAATGGCTTTATGAAAGCAATGGAATCTTGGCCAAGTTCATCTTTTCAGATATACCGTTTATTATAATATTATTACGCCTTGATCTATTCTCAAGATCATCAATTTTGTTTAATAGGATAGTTAGTTGAGATGAATGAGACTCAACATTACCTTCCATAGTGCTTATCCTAGTGGCATTATCATGTTGATTCCCCTCAATGCGGTCGCACCGCGATTCAATCGTGTCAAGCCGATCGTGTGAGCTAATGTGATCCAAAATAGCGAACTTAGCGTTATTATTCGCTAAACCATCAAATTTCTCACCTGCTATTCCCTCTGTAGTTTTTACTGATTGATTCTTGAACGGTTCATAATTATTTAATTTGGCTGTTAATAAAATGAGATATAACACCAGTTCAACTGCAACACGTCAGCTAATTACCACATTTAGTTTTTCTTTTTTCTTTTAGAGACCTCGGTATTATCAGGGAACAGTATAATGCACTATATAAATTTCATTAAATACATACATGTTTACACGCATACACATACATACATATATCAATAAATTTACTTGCTCTTTTCCACATATACACATTGGGGGTCCACCAAGGCGGATTACCCCACTTAAGCAAATCATAACATAAAGCACTTTTTCTTTCAATGTTTACAACATTCTGTTCCAATATTTAATTTTCAATGGCCATACACCTACTTTGCCAAGTATACCATGAGCCAATCATAGCGCTCACACTGCAATATCGACATATTTTTTA